CTTCCACTATAAACATTAAGCTTTTGTCCAAGATTATGTTGGAAGAAAGGATTCTTCTCTTTATAAAGTTTAAAAATCCTGAATTAATACAACAAATACAATAGTAGGTGTTTGTGCATCTTTGGGATAATAAGAAAAGTGCCTAAGGATTTGTATTTGATGATAACCACAATATGTCTGAGCATATACAACCACCCGGGCACTGAACTTGACTGAGCAGGCAGCATGTCACGTGACCAGGTCTGTGGGCTGGACTGGGCCTCCTCTGGTGGAGTAATACTCACTCTGAACTCTGGGTGAAGTCATTATCATGCTTGTTTATATAATGAGTAAACTGACATGCACAAATACAGTAAAATTTGGGGGCTGGCAAAAATAAATGAACCAATTCTATGACTAAACTTGGTTCATATTCTTATATTCAGGTTGTTAGTTCAGATCTATAGGCCTCCAACTTCCTTTAAGAGGATGAATACAGTCATTACTTGTGTTATTTTGTAGAGGATTGTCATGAGTAAATTATCAGTTTTTGTAATAAGAGCAACTATTTCTTTACCTTTCAAAGAATGTGAAAAACACACACACAGAAGGGTTTTGTTTCATATGAGGTGAGATCAGAGTTAAAGGTCGTGCTCAGGGTTCCTTTCTGGCGTGGACTGTGTAGAAACGTTCCCTCTTTCCATGTCTGGAAGCTACAGACTGGAAGCAGGCAGGCAGGTGACAAATATTCATTCATTCAGTATATATTATTGAGTGCCCACCACCACTGGGCATAGTGGTAAATGTAGGGGATAAATAGTGAATAAGACTCCAACGCTGCCTTAGAATCTGTATTCTAATGTGGAATGGGCACGTAGTGAATACATACACATAGCAATTATAGAATGTGATAATGCCCATGATGCACTCAACAGGTTGAGGGGGTGTCCTTTTAGATAGGAGCTGTCTAAGAAGGGCCTCTGGGGGGGGGGGGGGGGGGTCCTTTTAGATAGGGGCTGTGTAAGAAGGGCCTCTGGGAGGCAGAAGCCTGAGTGCATTTTAGAAGGCCGCAGCTGGCCTCTGCCGACTGCCACGGCCATAAATGAGTGGCACTTACTGCACTTGATAGTTAATGTGTGCCATCTGCACCAAAGAATTAAAATGCTGTGGGCGCCCTGAGGGGCCAATATAGTTGGTGACTGCCTGAATAGGAACAGAAAAACACAGCACAGTTAATTTACTAAATGCGTACATTTTCCCTTCATTTATCAGCACTGTGTTTTATTCATTTCTTTCATGCAAAGATGGCCTGAAGGACTTAAAAGTAATATATGCAAGATCTCTGTCCTCCAGCGTGCCCTAAAGTATTGTTTTCGCAACTGTGGAGAGTCCTCATCACACATGTCAGAAAGGCATCTATAATGAAAGTCCTTCTTACATTATTGCTGTACAAGTGGTAAAGGAATAAAATAGACTTTCTAAAAATTGGTTTAATTTTTAAAATTTCTACATAACATTCAAAATATATTAAAGAGAGAACATGGTTATTAAGACTTCTGTCAATAGAATTTTCCAACTTACATTGCTATTCTTTCATTTTTATTAGTTGAGCTTTCTTATTGTTCTTTTAAAGCCAGTCAGTGGGTCATGTTTCTTAAATAAAAATATCTGAAAGATAGATGCAGACACAGCAGATTCAGATTTACAGTAGAAACACTAGACCTCAGTCTCTTCCGAGCAAGTGTAACTCACCCATCTATCCAGCCATCCATTCAATATTTATTGAGTCCACTAAACCTATAGGTAGAACATGCTGGAGCCAGAGTGGTGTATTACGGCCTGCGGGCTGGCCCCCCGGCTGGGTGAATGCTGCTAATGTTCTTTCTCTGCATAGTTACTGTGGCAATTTTCTGGGAGGCATGTAAATAGCCAACATGTGGTTAGATGGCCTAAAATAAAGAGCAATTTGAAATTAGTCAATGTGATACCAACGGACTGACAGGATGAATTCAGGAAAAATACACAAAGCGGTTTACCTGGGAACCCCAAAGAAAAGAAAAACTTATATCACCAGGGAAGTTCAGTAAGGCATCTGTTTACAATATAAGAGATCACTAGTTTCTTTATGTACCAGTTTAAGAACATTATGATTAAGAAGCATCTTGTTCAAAACAGCAAGAAAAATAGAATAGAATATGTCTAAGCATAAACTTAACAAGAAATATACAGGACCTGAATTAAGCAAAGCACAAAATCTAAATAAAGACCATTTAAAAGTTTTACATTTTTTTAATTAGTTAATGTTATCAGTACTCTTCCTGTGTTTATTGGTTTCCTGTCATACTTGAATTATAATTTCCATTCTAAGATTTGAAAAATTCAATAGTATTTTCTTTAAAACTTGGCTCAAATGCCTTTGCTATCACAGAGATGTCCCTGATCAGAAGTTAGCCCCCCAAATCCTCTCTCCCTTTATATAAAAATCACATTGCACATCACATCCTGCCTTATTATTAGTTATTGTTATTATTCTCCAAAGTCTTCTAGTAGATTGTAAGTAACCAAGGGAAGAAACCCCACTTTGAATATCTATGTATGTACTCCAGTATCTAGAATATGCCTTGCATTCAGTGCTACTTAAATATTTATATAACTGAATTAACTGGTACTGTTTGTGTATATATCCAGTCCTCGCTAATTAGATATAAATTTATGTGAAAATTTGTGACTAGTTATTTTTTGCTTCGAAGAACTGTTCTGCCCTCTCTAGACCTGAGCCACATCCATTAAGAGCAGCACATGAGACTGGGGTCCTAGGACTTGCCAAGTGACTGGTGACCAGAATACCTAAGTGAGTAGGCAGGTCAGGCAAGGTGGTTCCTAGCACCAGGGGTGGCAAGTGTGGAGCCATAGCACCAAGTGGCATGAGCACATGCAAACAAACACACACAGGTAAGTGGAGCTGAATCACCTAACAGCACGACCATTCTGCCCCCAACAGTGGCATAGATTCCGCCTTGGTCATAGGTCTGACTGGTGAAGTTTTGGTGATGTCAAAGACCAGCTGAATATAGGTAGGTAGACAGGCTCTCAACTAGTTAAATACATTGAGTTATCAGCTCAGATGGATTGGTCCATTGCAGCCCCTATGCCCTTTATCCATTACTGGTTCCATTTCCTCTCTTCATTCTCTTGAGCCCATTCAAATATGGCTTTCAATCCACCAAAACTGCTCTGGTCAAGGCAATCAGTGACCTCTGGGTTGCTAAATGCAGTGGTCAATTCTCAGTCCTCACCTTACTTGACCTGCAAGCAGCATTGACACACCTCACGATTCACAGTTCCCAGACGCTTCATTTGACTCTCAGGACACAATGCTCTCCCAGCTTTTCTCCTACCTCACTGGATGGTTCTTCCTGAGCTCTTACCACTGAGTAAACCTAAGGTGCAGTCCTCAGACTGCTTCCTTTTTCTACTCATATTCACTTTCTTGGCGATCCCATCCAATCTTATGGCTTTCAATTCTATTTGCAGACAAATTCCAAATTTTATCTTCTCCGGCCAGACTCATAGATCCAATTGCATACTCAACATCTCATTTAGCTAATAGACATCTCAGACTTCCATTCCAAAACTGAACTCCCACTCTTCCCCCAAATCTTCTCTTCTCACAGCCTCTCCATTTCAGGAGATGACAACCATCCAACTAGTTTTTAAAACAAATAACCCTAATGCTATGGGTGGACTAAAGGAAATAGAATATGTAAAGAACTTAGCATACTGCTGAGCAGTCAATGCACAATAAATGTTAGCTTCTATTATTTCTGACTTTTCTTTTCTAGAAGGTTTCAAGAGGAGATTTGACTTGTAAAATTGAAGTTATCAGCTCCTTTTCATAATAACTAAATTTTATTCTTAGACACATGCAATTTCCATTTTAAGATTTCAATTAAATGAACTGAAGAAAATAAAATGTGCTACTGTGCTCATGGCTTAGCTTCTGAAAAAGAAGAAAAGCCACCTTTCCCAGTAAAACTGTTACAGATGAGAACCAAAGAAAATGTTACATAGCACAATGGCAATTTGAAGCATTAGAAATCTTCTCTTACCTAGCAGTAATTTTCAGCTAATCAGACAACTTGATCCTAGAAAATATTTTAAATGCATGGTTATATGAGATGTTAATATGCTATTCCCAGCTGTACACAGCTCTAGTTTCACAACCTGAAAGAATTTTGGGGATATGAGGAAAGTTATGGAATGTTTTTACAAAAGCTGGGATAAGTGGCCTCACATTATTAACCTGCAGTCCCACTTACTCTGTCATCCCACCTAATTATTAAGAATTTTCTAGAAACTTTCTACCTATTAACAGTAGTATCTGAGTTATCAACTACATTGCAATAAGCCTTAATTATATAGGAAGCATCTTGGGTAAGTACACAATGCATAAATTAAACACATGGATATCGCTAATTTCACATTTAACTTGGCCCTTTAATACATATGGTTTGCTAATACACATGGTAAGAGATGGTTTTTGGATAAGAAACAATGTTCATCTAATTTTAATGTTCATGGAAAATCACATTTATTCTTTTATCCATTCTCCTATCTTCCTTCACTTTCCTCCACTCCCTCCCCTATATATATATTTATATATGTCACCTACCATGTGCTGGGTAATGAGAAAAAACACTTTAACTCTTGTGTATAGCTCAACAGCTAGGTAGTAATGGCCTTGGATGTTTTAAAAGGGGGGAAATAACCTCAATATGAGATTTCAGTGGTTGACTGTGCTTAATTTGTTATTAGCTTTTCTTTGTCCATATTTAATTATATATTAAATTCGATGGTATTCTGATACTTTATATTCTCTAAAATTTATTAAAATTTTGAAAAATTTGTATTTTACATTACTTTTACTGAGTTACTTTTGCATTTAAACTCCCATTGTGGGATCATTTTAGCTAGTCTATATATACTTTACATGCTAATTTTTATTTGTTTATTTTTTGTAGGAAGTCCTGGCTGAGCAAGGTTGGAAGTCCCAGTTCTCGCATTGACCGCACGGACTTTTCTAATGAAAAAACCATCTCTAAACTTGAATATTCTAATTTTAGTATTCGATACTAATAGAAATGATAATGTATAGACTGCATTATAGACACTATATATTCTTATGTAGTAGGGTATTAGTAGCAGAGTAGTAAGAAAAGGAACTCTGTTCTGAAAGCTACATTATACAGATTACTAAAAATGACACTGAAATAGTTTTACTCAACTGTTTTTCACTAATGCAAAAATTAGTATCTAAAATAAAAATGTCATTATAAAATATTTAATACAAGTATTTAATTTAAACTTGTCTCATGGAAACTAATTCTAATAAATGTTATAGCTTACATGTTATTTGGCTAGGCTGGACATAAAATAATAAAGTTAACCATTTAAAAAGTATTCTTAGGTACTGTTATCTGATTTGAATTCTAAAACCTTCCAAAAAATAAAAAATAAATAAAACCTTTCAAATAAGTATTATTAAAGTTGAGTAATTTTAATTACTCAAAAAGAACCAGTAGTTAGATATAAACGTATATGATTAGTATAACCCTAAAACAGTATCAAAAAAGAGTTAAATTTTAAGTTCTGATTAAGTAAGAACATGGTTCAGTACTTGGGTTGGCGCGCCTTAATGCATTCTGTGAACTACTTTGTTCTGTATAGTGAACAGATGAGCGATGGCAACTGACTGAGAACCCACAATTTCAGTATAGCAAGCAGCAAGGTTTGTATCAACAACCCTCCATGATGGATATCCCTTACCCAGAACAACTGAAAGTCTCAATAAGTCATACTACCCCCCAAATTTGGCCTATCATTTGGGGATTTTCACATGTAAATGATTTTTAAGGGGAAGTTTCATTTCTATACTACAGAATTACACTATTGAGAAAGGAAGACCTTTAACTCAAAATTTCAAATGTTGTAGGCATATACTTGTATAGATCCTTCAATGACTTCCAACATTTTAAAACAATGAAATCCTTCATTCAAAAGAAATTTACCTGGAATTTAATTCATAAAGAAGATGAAAAGACACAACCGGCATGATTGAAATGGGGCTGGGGGACCCTGGAATACTGCACATTTGGTCACGCTTTCCCTCCTGCATCTTGTCCTCCTTGGGGATGCAGGTTAGAAACCACCACTCTATCTATGGAAGAAATGTCCATTGCTGCACTCCATGGCTTAGAGAAAGATCAGAATTGAGAAAAGGAGATGAAGAGTGGGCTGACTTTGTTCACTTGAAAGGTTAACTCTATGGCTGATGATAATATTGATATCAAATATATATGACAACACATTAGGGAATGACAAAGATATTTTTAAAACTTTCCAATACACGTAAAGAAAGAAAGAACTTTCCTATTCCTTTATAACATCATCATCATGTTAAGTATTCTGTGTGTCAAATATTATACAGGAGAATCTATTGTGATACTCATTTGAGTTTTGCTCTCCTGGTTTTACCCACTCCTGGTTCAAGGAAGGTGGACAAGTCTTTGGGTTCCCTTACCTCAGGAGGGTTTTGGTGCCAGATCCCCTGGAGACAACATTCCTTGGAAGGTTTCATTTTAAAGAGGGCATTAGGCTGTGAGTTGAGGGGAAAGACAAACAGAGGCCTTTAGCAGGTAAAAGAGAAGCCAAAATGACAGAGCCAAAGAGACAAGAAGATAATTCAATACGTTGCAAAGGGACGAAAAGCCGTGGGTTTCCTAAGAGATGGAGACCTGCGCCTTTTTCCTCAGGGGCGCCTCTGTGGGATGGCTAAACCTGAGAAGGGAGCACCTGTGGTACATGCAGAAGAGCTGAATCCCAGCTGCAGGGGCTCCCAGCCAGATTCCTATCCCCAAAAGTGCTGCAAAGTATCCTGATGACAAAGGACCATGGTGGTTTGGACAGTAGTCATGGTAACTGGTGTGGACGGGAGACTTAATGCTCTCTCTGCATGAGGACCTTTACATGGTCGTTCTGAGAGAGGGCGCGAAACACCAGGATGGCACACTTACCTTCCCACCCACCACACAGGTGGGGCTTGAAGCGGGCTCGGCTTCATTTAGAGAAAATAAAACGGGCATTTCTTGCACAGTCAAGTTTGAAAAAAAACACCTGTATGTCTTTATACATAAAAAGGCTAAGTGATTTTGGAAAAAGATAATCTCCGAAGTGACACCAATATGTCACTTTTTATTACCCTGCTATGCTCTGCGAGTCCCCTTCCCAGCTCAGGTTACAAGGAAATCACAACTTGTTGGCACAATCTTCTAGCTGCACAAACTGAATCACAGTAGTTAAAGTTGCTTAATGATTAATACATAACAATTCTATTACTGGGTGAGAAATGTAAATAATTATTAAAAGTAGGTGTTCATGAATGGGTAGAAAGCAAGAGAAAAAAATGGTAAAGCAATGTGTAGAGGCCAGATACATTTTAACATTAAACTTAATATGTCAAATTTCATATGGACTTACACAAAGAAGTTTTAATTCATATGTCACATTTGAATAATAACTGTGATACATTTAGTTTTGTTCAAATGAGACATTTTAAAAAACAAAAATATTAAGCAAAAGGTGGGTATCTACTTCAGTAACTATCAACCAGGAGTCTCAACATTCCACCTGTCCACACCTGTCTCTGGAAGCAACATATCAGAATTATGGGAGTATTATTTGTAAAAGCAAACTTAATTATTTTTCATATTTATATAAAAATGACTGTCTTTATTTTTACTGACATTAAGACAGGCATGTAGATACGTGGAACAGAATAGAGAGCGCAGAAATAAACCCATGTGCATACAAAGGAGGCAAGAATATACAATGGGGTAAAGACAGTCTTTTCAATAAATGGTATTGGGAAAATGGGACAGATACATGCAAAAGAATGAAAATGGATCACTTAAAAGTTTTTGCACAGCAAAAGAAACTATCAACAAAACAAAAAATCTACTGAATAGGAAAATATATTTACCAATGATATATCTAATAAAGGGTTAATATCCAAAGATATAAGGAACTCATACAACTTAACACCAAAAAAAAAAGAAAAAAAAAAAGAAAAAAGAAAGAAAAAAAAATCCAAACTATCCAAATTTAAAAATGGGCAGAGGACCTAAATAGAAATTTCTCCAAAGAGGACATACAGATGGCCAATAAATATATGAAAAGATGCTCAACATCACTAATCGTCAGGGAAATGCAAATTAAAACCACAAGGAGATATCACCTCACACCTATCAGAATATCATCAATCAACAAGTGAGTGTTGAGGATATTCAGAAAAGGTAACTCATGTACTATTGGTGGAAATGTAAATGGGTGTAGCCACTATGGAAAATAGTGTGGAGGTTTCTCAAAAAATTGAAAATAGAGCTAACATGACCCAGCAATTCCACTTCTGGATATTTATTTTTTTTTTAAATCCAAAATTCTAATTTGAAAGATATATGCACCCTTATGTTTACTGCAGCATTATTTACAATACCAAAGATATGGAAGCAACCTCAGTGCCCATCAATAGACAATTGGATAAAGAAAATGTGGTACATTTATAACAGTGGAATATTACTCTGTCATGAAAAAGAATGAAATCTTGCCATTGTGACAACATGGATAGACCTAGAGGTATTATGCTAAGTGAAATTAGTCAGACAGAGGAAGACAAATACCATAAGGTTTCACTTATATGTGGACTCTAAAAAACAAACAACAAAACAGAAACAAACTCCTAGATGCAGAGAATAAATGGACGATGGCCAGATGGAAGTGGGGGTGGTGGTGGTGGTGTTGGGAGGGTGGATGAAAAGGGAGAAGGGATTAAAAAATACAAACTGCCAGTTATAAAAACAGTCATGGGATGTAAACTACAACATAGAGATTATAGTCAATAATATTGTAATAACTGTGTATGGTGTCAGATGGGTACTTGACTTACCAGGGCCCTCACTTCCTAATTATATAAATGTCTAATCACTATGTTGTATACTTGACACTAACATGATAACTGTAATTGAAAGATTTTTTTTTAATTTAAAACATTTAAAGAAATGAAATAAAATTTTAAAAGCCTGTCTTTTTGTTGTTTTCAACCTTGTTTGAAACTAGCCCACAGACTACAAGCACTGTGAGGCCAGCTTCAGTATTACTTTTCCTCCTTTTACGGCTGCCAAGATCGGCGTTAAGGGAACCGGAGGGTAAAAAGCCTGTCTTTTTACAAAGTTAACTCATGAAATAAAGCTCAATAGTATTTTGGAGGGAATATGTAAATGACAGTCTTGACCAGGTGGGCCAGCCCATAGAAGCAACAGGGATGTGGGAGAGAGAGGAGGTTTTTCTATTAGGAAGGGCATGGGCTTCTAAGTTCTAGAAGAAGCAATCCAAATTTCATCTGAGATTGGGAATTTCTGGGAATACCCTGGAGCCTGCAGAAAGCTTGTGTCTGCAAGGCAGGTGCTGTGCTAAGAGCAGAGAAGCACTGAAGGAGGAAGCTAACGGGGGCGGGTGGGGAATAGTGAATTTGACTTTGCTCGAAACTGGTCACCATTGGGACAACTAAATATTTTCAATTTTGTCTACCAAAGAAAACTTTCAGAAACATGTATCTCTATACTCATACTTAGATAAGACAGAAAAACAGAATCTACTTCCAAAAATTAGCTTCGTGTTTGGATGTGTATAGTCCACAAATATATTTCATACAGTAGCTCTCCCTGACCTCCATAGAATGCTCACTACTTGGTTAAAAGGAAAAGATCTTCATGTCTGGAACTAATTTCAGGAACTGGAAATAGGCAGCATAGTATGGCAGAAAATATTCTGGTGTAGGGATCAGAAGACCTGCATCTGGGCACAGCCCACCTATTAATTTGCTGTGTGCCTAGGTACCCTCAACTCCTAAACCCATAATAAGGGTCCATGAGAGCAGCCCTACTCTCATCTCTATCAGATATTAGGCTTCTCCATAAGACATCTTTTGAGAAGAATTCTGCCTAAAAGAAATAAACAACAACAAAGACACTGAATTCGTATCTGGAGTCTTCTTTTCTAAATTTCTATAATTGTTAAACTTACACCTATTTCCTATCCTCTTGATTACTTCTGTCAAGCCAGTGTGGTATGTCTACTTTATCTTTAGCCATTTGCACTGAAACAACGCATACTTTGTGAAAAGTACTATTGGAAATAGATTCTTATTTTTCATAGTGGCCCCTAGAAGGGTCCATGGTCGCTAAAATATTTCTGTAATTGACTTTCAGTTGTCTCTTGTTTCTATTTTGATGTTACCAAAATGAAAAATATACAAGACAAAATACAAATATATCAGTGACTTAATTAAAAAGTTTTGTAAGCACGTCTTGCAGATTTTAACCTAACATTTAGAACGATGTAAAAGA